CACGTAACCCCTGTGCCAAAGGCCGAGCTGATCAGATTTTTTTTACCCTATGCCCTCGATAGAGAAACTTGCGATATGGTCTGAAAAATTGGTGAATGACTCTTCGTCGATTGAGGGAGGCTGGCTTACGTTCGAGGCGCCCGGCACGAGTCCCGTTGCTAATTGCTAGACATCGACGGCAGCGTTTAGCTTATGCTTGTCGTTACATACGCTGGTCTCAGCGTCAATGGGAAAGGAAGAAGTTCGGTAAAAAAACAAAGCAAATTAAGTTCAGTAAAAAAAAAAGAGTGCATCTATCACAATAACTAAGGAAGGGTAGGATGTACACAGCAGCTGCACTCTCTCATCACTTCGCATTGTGCACTTTTTGTCATTGCGCAGAGATTGGCTAGAAATGTGTTTACTAAATTTCTGAAATCTCTCCTTCTTCTAAAATAAAGTGAAACTAAAAAAAAAGCAGACCATAACAGTTCAAACGCTGCGAAATCGTTTTAAAGAGGAAACGTACCGCAAAAGAGTCATTCACCAATTTTTCAGACCATATCGCAAGTTTCTCTATCGAGGGCATAGGGTAAAAAAAATCTGATCAGCTCGGCCTTTGGCACAGGGGTTACGTGTACTTTTACCTTCAAAAAAACGTGGACACATGGAAGATTCCACGATTTTTTTTTAAATGGCATCGTGTTTTGTGAAAAATGGTAATTATGCAATATTTTACGTTATTTTGAAATGGACTGTAGACGATGAAGAAAATTTTCAACAAATTCGCAACTGAAGGACTTTAAAGAGAAATCTCTCAGCTTTCCAAAATTCTTTTGGAGTTAGCCCATACGATCATGCGTTCGCAAGTTACAGGCGCTCAAAGTGGAAAGTGCCTTTTCTCATGTCATGACGAATAACTCAGCCAATAAAAACTGTACAACAAAATTAAAAAAAGAGAATTAAAGAAAAAAGTTTGCTCTCTAAAAGTGTTCCATTGGGATTACCAGAAAAAATTTTATTTGGCCCACGCATCCTCTCAAAGTTGACCAACATTTTTTAACATTCGCTTGCTGCGTTTCATCTTTAAAGAAATGGAACATACTACGTGAAAATAATTTTTCAATTCCCGATTCAAAAACCAGAAATTTCAGGCTACAAAATGGTCGTATACAATATTTTTTATAACTATTATTCGCGAAGATATAGTCATTTGAAAATGACCCATATTTTCGGCAAATTTTAGTGGTCCCTTAATTTTGACGCTCAGTGTATATATATATATATGTGTATATATATATATATATATATATATATATATATATATATATATATATATACACATACATACATACATACATACAAAGTTGTTCAGAATGATGGCCTTGACAACATATTTCAAGGTCATTGAAATCTGTGCTGAGAACTATGTTCTCAATAATTACCCCATGACGAAGATTACATTTACTAGCACTACCTTTCTCGAAAGCTATATTACCACTTAGTCAATCACGCAAGAAGCGCAGATTGAGAGATTTCCTGATTCGGTTAGCCAAGTGTTAATATATAGCAGTTTTGGCTGCAGAATGATTGAGTTTAGACACATAAAGGAAAATGACTCAAATTCCATGCATATTCATTGTACCATTGCAAAGAGAATATTGAACAACCAAAAATATTTCAAACAAATGGTACACAAAACGAAAGAGCACATGACATTCAATTATATATAGGCCATACTGCAGGCAAAAGTTATATTTCTTGACACAATCTAGGTAAAAAATCTCAAATATTGAAATGGACATTTATTATATTACAATCTAATACTTTAGTTCTTACTTTAGTTATTTCCCAACCACACAAGTTTGTTTCATTGGATATAAATTGAATTCCTCATAAATAATAAAAAGAATATTTAGGTAAAATTATAGATGGATACTAATTATCATCACAGAAATAAGAAAATAATATAAGTAAACGCACCATCATCACAAGTGGAAAAGGATGTTTATACACCCGCACCGGTGATTTATATTGTTGAACCATAGTAAAACGATCTCTCCTTACAAATGGGCCGCTAACCTAGATTACAGTGTATTCAGGAACTAAAACAATACAATTAATTTAATTCACTAGAACCAATCAAATACATTAATAATTGACCTACGAATAAACAGATTTCATAGGTTACCATAAGATATTTGTTAATCTGTGCTTTATCACGTACAATGTTTGTGTCACTACACTTAGGTACGTTCAGAACACATTTCCGCACATTTCAACACAAAACTACCCAAGGTTACGTAAATTATTGAACAAAACTTCGTATAATCGGTTTTCTGTACTTTACCACCAGGGGGTCAGGAGGTTGACTATAGACATATATAATAGACTGCGCGGTCTTATAGTAGAGATGAAGTCAGCACTGGAGAGAGAGGACAATACGTGGAGTACCCTTTTTCTCTTTCTAATGGGGCTGTGGTGGAAAATTCTCTTACGGCTGTAGTGGAAGCATTACATGCGTGCAGCATTCTTTCTCCTCATCGCCCTCCAAAGAAAATTCTCTTACGGCTGTAGTGGAAGCATTACATGCGTGCAGCATTCTTTCTCCTCATCGCCCTCCAAATAGGGATGAATTGATACAAGTAAATACGAGTACATTACTCGATACTTTTGTTTCTATACCGAGTACTTTTTGTATCGGTATGTACCCTTACGAGCAAACTCGGCTTCCGCTAGGGGAAAAAGTGAGGTAGGCGAAGGGCCTACTAAAATACTGAAAATTGCCAATTACTGAAATTTATGCCAAATTAACATTCAGTTTAACATTTATTTCAGTACCTGAAATAAATTTTACTAAATGGTAGGAAGCTCTTTTCTTACGCCACTTTTTCCTCTAACGGAAGCCGAGTTTGCTCGTGGGTGTACAGTTGCGATACCAAGTATTAGATATCGAAAAAAGTACTCGTATTGAATGGAGTGAATATCGACCCATCAACATTTGATATTGTAATTATAATATTTCAATACAAAAGAATGTTCTTTATATTAATAATTAAGCAATGTGTATTTAAATATATTACGCCCATTTTACGACTATTTTAGGTCTAAGGCATCTTGAAGCCGTCTTCAAGGCGTCATGTGCTATTTGGATTATATACGTTTGTAAAACGATTTAAAGGACAAAAATTAAACTTGACGGAATCTGGATTCCGTTAATTTCTTTACGGATCTCCACTTGCAGCAACCTCTTCGTGGTGAAGCCTGGGCAATCGGTATTATCATCGGTAAAGTACTGTAAACTGAAAACAATATCGAGCTAATAGCCGCGAACTTTGAATCTATCTCATAAAACTACATTCTATATTACATCGAACTAGGATTATTTTAGAAATCAATATGAGATTCAAAGTGTAAAAATGTCTAGTACTTTAAATGTTTTAGAAAATTATTCAAGATAAAACTGTATGGAACTACTTAAAATTACTTTAGATTCCTTGTCCTTATTCTGTAAATTCTTTGATTGGAATATGAATGCTGCTGGAAGTATGAACATTTTCACAGGACAATGATATAAATGGAACTTTAAAACTTTTTTAAGCTTTACAGTGATATTTCGTTATATGTTCCATAATGTCAATAATATTGATTTCCCCGCAACATCCATAATTATTACAAATGTCAATATAATGAAATATCTTTTATGCGATGTTTGTGGTGTAATAAAAATCTGTGTTTCGATTACGTTTTTGATACATATTACTCACTTATATGTAATAATATAGAATAAAAATACACTCTTAGTCCAACATTTGAAAATATACATGCGTTCGTTGTCTCTGTTAAACTGCTGTAATAACAATGGAATAATGGAATAATTTACTCAGATGTACATAATAATACATATACATATTCATAAAAACAATATTAAACGCAATAACTTCTTTGTACGCGAAAAAAAACCAATAGGTCCGTCGGGACTGGAACCCAAAACTTCTTTCTAATACGTCTACTTTACAGCGAACGGACGGAAGAGAATCCGTTCACGACCATGGTCCCTTCGATGATTTTCCGACATACCGAACACTTATGTTCTGACAACATTGCGTACTTTAGACTCGACAACACTGTAGAAGTTAGACTAGTTGAGCTCGAATGGATTGAACGTAGTTCACAAATTCACCGTTCTCATAACGTAGGAGGCAGCCGAAAATCCCTGACTTTTTACACGATTGGTATTTCAAAACATGAGACACGAAGTTCCATAAGATGATAGGTCTATTCTATACCTCGTCGTTGTTATTAGTATACTTCTATAATGTATTTGCAATACATTCTTTTTAAAAAGCTATAATTATATTATATTTATTATTTCTGACTTGTTAATTTTATAAGGTTGATATAAAGACTTAGGAATCCATTATTGGTAATATGTAGAAAGTAATAACATAAATACACTGTTAATTATTACAAGCTAAGGTGACGTAAAGAGACACATTGGGCGGGATTCATAGTCGCTTCTTATTCTTAAGCATTTTCTTAAGTCCCGCCTAGATTCATAGTCAGGAAATAAAAATTTACTTAAGAATTTACTTAAGTATTCACTTACTTAGTAAAGAATTCTTATTTGAATCGTGATTCACATTCAGAGTAACATCAAAGGTGTCGGTCGGAGTGTCGCCTCTTTGCCTCTCGTTGATGCATGTTGTATCCAGTTGTAACCAGTTGTATCCACGGATGACTATGGATCGGCAACTCCCGCCTAAAATGATGACGATTCGCAGCGCCAATGGTGATGCGTGTATGCACTAAATGTTAAGGAGGGAAACACGGGTTCTACTTGAATTTATCTATGGATCATACAGACTTATACAAGACTTTCAGTAATCCGTGGTTGTATCCCTACACACTGGCTAAAGTATGGATGTCATTTAAAACATTATAAATATCGTATTTTTGAGGAAAATATAGTGTCATAAAGTAGTTTAAAAATCGTCAAACAACATTGAAGATAGTTAAATATGGGAATAGGTAAAAGTCAATTTACTGAGGAAGAACTACAAGATTATCAGGTATTTAATACGATTGTAGTCAAATAATGTTTATATCGTCGCTACTCAAAATTATTTTACATTGTAGGATTTGACGTATTTTACGAAAAAAGAAGTTTTACAGTAAGTGGTATTTATTAAATACTTTCATGTGTTTTTGTATGTACATAATCCAATTGAAATAGAAATGTTATGCTTCATAAAATCATTATTTTGGTATAGTTGCTATTGTAATCATACATGTTAAAAGTAAAAAAATCAAGATGTTTCTTGTTATTTTTGATAATGTGGGCAGTATGACATATAATAAAAGTTGTATATATTAACACATCTTTATTATAATCCTTCATAATTGTTGTCACTTAAGTGTCAGTAAAGTGACTTAATTATTAAGTTTCATTTATAGTACATATTATTTCAAATTTTATGTAAAACACGTAGTTGTACAAATAAAATTATGAAAACTTTAATTTCCTTGTTTTATATACGATATTTGATCATGGTTTTTTTTACATTTTACAAAAACCTACTTCACTATAATTCGTAGATATTTTTTGTAAATTTTTAAAAAGAACCACCAATGCTTCTAATTTTTTATAATTTTCTTTTATTGGATATTGGTACTTCAAATTAAAAAAAATTTAGTGTGTTCAAGTTACAAAGGAACTTAGTAAAGCCATAAAATCAGAGCTTCTGACTATGCATTCTGCCGTACAATATTAAATTAGCAATTTAAGTACAATGCAAATATTTCCATATAAATAACAACATTTTAATTTCGCAAAGTACCTTGCTTTGTTATTTAATAAGTTGATCTATATATGTCATCTATAGTTTATTTTTAGAATATTTGAAAACTAGTATTTATGCAATATGTGACTAGTTAGTCATTGTAATACATATTTTTAAGTGGACATTTATTTTATTAAGAACTGACCTACAGTATAATGGACTGCACAGTGACCTGCATGTGAATATTTGAAATTATAGAAATCAAATTTATGAAAAGGAAGTTAAAGTTCTACACATGGTTACAATATTTATGTTTAAGACTTCCGTGTATTAAGTTCATTATAACTAGTTGTATATTTAAATTTGTTAACTGTTCAATTGTTTCTATTTTCCTGGTTTAAAACACCTGTTAGTATAGTAATAAAGTAAATATTAGTATATACTTTAAGAAACTACTTTTACATGACAGTGCACATCAAAAGTTTAAGGCTCTTGCTCCAGAAAAAGTTGGTCACAATAGAAATGCCAAACTTCCTGTGTCAAAAATCTTACAATATCCTGAATTAAAAGTAAATCCTTTTGGAGACAGGATTTGCAAAGTTTTCAGTTCTAGTCAAGATGGAGACTGTACTTTTGAAGACTTCTTGGATATGATGTCAGTTTTTAGTGATGCAGCTCCGAAAGCTGTAAAGGCTGAACATGCGTTTAGAATATTTGGTAATTTTTTATACAGAACTGTATAATATTTTTGTTGATTTATCTTACAAGGGAATTAATGATGGAATAATATATGATATGTAGATTTTGATGGTGATGATATGCTTGGCATTGGAGATTTGAGACAAGTAGTCGATAGACTTACTGCACCTCAGAGATTGAATGAAACGGATATGCAACAAGTTCTTCAGTACATACTTGATGAAGCGGATTTAGATGATGATGGTGCATTAAGTTTTGCAGAATTTGAACATATTATAGAAAAAAGCAACGATTTCTCCATGTAAACATCACATTTTTGTTACAAGTTTATTTATTTCAATATTCTAATTAGAGTGTATATGTATTTATATTTACAGGAGTTTTTGCATACATTTATAAAGTATCAAATACTATAAAACAATGAATGATTACCATAAGACTGAATGTTACATTAGTGTAAAAACATGTACCAATAGGCCTAATCATTTTTACACTAAAAAAAAGGTGAGTTTCAGAATTTGTAAAGAATATGACATTGGTTTTTTAAGGCCTATAAATAATACAGACTGTGAGTCTGTCTTCTTTGTTTTACAAATATTTAATTTTATGGAATATACCTAGGTCTTGTAAGTAGAAAAATTGAATTATAATATGTTAAATGCAACTTGTATTTTTATTATAATAATGTTGCTAGACCAAAGTGTTCTATCTTGTATAATATCATTTATTTGACCCATTATAACTTTTTAACTATGTTATAACAATGTAACAAGCATACAATTAAGTATTTTAATTTTAAATAAAAATAATTACAATTAATATTGTCGATACCTAATACAATCCTTATTAAAAGTAAGAGTGCATTAAGTAACATCTACAGGGTAATTTATTCCTTAACTGTAGAAAATTTAGATATGAATCTACAACAGTGTATGAAATTTAGATCTTCTGGATGCTGTTTCCTTTTGCATAACCAGGTACTTCTACATAATGTATAGACCATTCATTCAATGTTACTTTGTAATGTCCTGTGTCCCAAGTTAGCTCTGGTCTAATGCTACTTTGAGTTCTTGCTCCTACGTCTGCCCTAATGCATTTAGAGTGTGTGTGGAATAGTCCAGGAAGAAAGGAGAGGAACGGGTTGGAGGATGAAAAAGAGAGACGCGTTTCGTCTCGGAACCACTAGCCAAACCGATACGTACTATCTGTAGGACTATAACTGGTGGTCTCTGCTCTGATGTATATATAGAAATGAATTTAGAAACTAGCACTTGTGAGAATTTGTGGCGTCATTGGCCACACGCGTATAAATGTAATTACTGACGAACTTCCAACTATCCAAGAAATAATAAGTCATGTTTCTTTTTACAAACTTAATAATATAAGTTAACAATTATTTACAAGAACACGCAAAGTTGACAATATATAAAAGATAACTAGAATGTAGCTTCACAAATATGAAAATTATCTATAAAAGTAATGTAACTTTTTACATGTTTCTTAATTCGTTTTCATGTCCTTTTTGTTACATTTTGATGTAATAACGCGATATAAGAATCTTAATACGTGCAAACAATTACCTTCTGGAAATATGTAAATTTTTACATATAAATTAATTTACACATGATTTATCTACAATAATTTTCTTTATTGTGAGTAATGAAGTAATAAACTACTTGGCAGTATGTTCACGTTAAGCTAGTATCTTTCAAATTAAATAAGATACGAAAGTTTTATTTATTACTTATTTCCATTAAACAAACTTTCGCAAGTTTAAAAAATGTTAAAATTCATAAATTTTGCATACATTTATTAACATCCTTTCAGATATCTAGTTTAGGGTTATAAAATTAATAAAAAAAATTCTAAGTAAATTCTAAATTAGTAAATAAACTATAAATGAAAAGAATTCCGAATCAAAATCAAAAGAATATCGAAACAAATGGAGCAAGAAAAGCAATCCTGTTCTCTAATGGAAATTCATTGCATTGTAGATGCCATAAATAGATTTCTATGCGTATCCGTTTATTGTCTCTAAAATATGATAGGAACTAATCCCCTTAATACGAGGAACTAATCCCTTTTTCTTTTTCACTCGTTGCCCTTTTCTACGACCGTAATGTGGACACCAGTAATCCCATATTCTACTGTACGAGTTAATTAATATCGTCCGATCGACACCTAAGAAAAGGAAGATATATTATACTTCGTCGGTGATTATACAAAGGACAGGGGGTTTTCCAAGTATGCTGGGGGAGAGCTGTCGACCGAGCGCGGGCGCGAGCGATTGGCTTACCTGAATCGCCAAACAGGGCGACCTTTGTACACCTGTTCCGACCATTCCATCTTTAAAAAGTCACCACAATCCATTTGAAACAAAACTGATTTTAAAGAAATAAAGTCACAAAATATGAACATATATTTTTCAGACTTGAACCAGGAACGAATTTACAAAACAAAAATATGTTTAATACTGCATTGTAAAAATAACTTTATGAAAAACAATATGAAATTCGTATCTTTAATAATTGCGGAGATAAAAATTCTTTTGTGAAAGGAAGTTTCATAAAGATCGGTGAAAATTGTCAAATTCCGCCCCCCCACCCATGTTGGTAATGGAACTAAGGTGAAAAAAAGGCATTTATTCCATGTTTTAACTTAATAAAACCACCGACTACGTATAGAATAGACCTATCATCCAATGCTTCTTTCTGTCCCACGTTCATAGGGCTACGTAGCCCTGTTACCATTTTAGTGTCAATACTCGACGTTACCGATAAAGCATGAATTATGAGTATTATTAGCACAAATGAAGTGTTATATATTCCATTCATATTACGTGTATCTATATGATTTCATGAGAATAAAAATATCCGATGCTTCAGTTTAAGGTTAAGGGATAAATATAAGTCATGAAACATGAAACGGAAAAGTATATATTTTTTCACTTAACTACAAGACAATTTATTCTAAATGCATCGTTAATGGACATTTTACTAATGTTACTTTTTACATGTTCTTGTTTTACTCCTTTTTATATCTTGCTTTACATTTGTATATTTGTAACAGATAAATTCAGAATAGATGTAGTTTCATAAATAATTTATTAAATCTACGTTTTGGCCGGCGGCTTACAATTTCCCTTGCGGGAAGCCTTACCATAATGAGCCATCTCGTAGCCGCGGGATTCCGGGAATTAGGTGACGTCACGGCGTGCGAGTGAGAGCGATAGAGCGAGCCGCGGTATCGGTGCTCTCCGTCGGTGTTAACGCGTGCCGAAAAATTTCGGTGGTCTATGGGGGGAAGGGTGCGAGCGAGAGAGTACGGTAGAGCGTGCCGCGATATCGGTGCTCTCTGTCGGTCCAACGCGCTAGTGACGTTACGTACCTGGCCGTACCATCTGGTGTTTGGGTCGTTCAAGGAGGCAGGTCGTTCAGCGGAGGTGGCGGTGGCGCTCATCGTCGCCCGGATCCGGGACCTGGGGTTACAGATCTCGCCGCCAAAGACGGAGGTGGTCATGTTTCATGGACTACCTCTGACGCGGCGGGTCCCCCAGGCCTGGGTCCGTGTGGGAGATGCCTGTGTCCGGGTCGAGGGCCGAATGAAGTATCTCGGCCTCGACCTGGACAGCCGCTGGTGCTTCGAAAGACACTTCGACCGCCTGGTCCCCCGGATTGAGGGCGTGGCGACCCTGTTGGGTCGTCTGATGCCCAACCTCGGGGGGCCGGAGGAGAGGGTACGCCGCCTCTACATGGGGGTGGTGCGGGCGATGGCCCTATACGGGTCACCCGTGTGGGCCCGCGACCTGATGGCCGGCCGGCGGTGCCGGCAGCTACTGCGGCGTATTCAGCGCCGCATGGCCATCAGGATCGCGAGGGGGTACCGCACCATCTCCCGCGAGGCGGCGACCGTCCTGGCGGGGGTCGTGCCCTTTGATTTCCAGGCAGAGGCTGACGCCGAAGTATATCGGTGTCTGCAGAGCCTCCGCCGGAACGGGGCCGACCTGCCGGACGACGCGGTCGAAGGGTTGAGGCGCCAGGGCCGGCGGCTCGCTCGCGAAAAGTGGCGGCGCCAGCTGTTTGAAAGCGGCGCCGCCCGGCAGCCGTGGGCGCGGTCCTGCCCGTCCTTGATGGATGGCTGGACTGTCGGCACGGCAGGCTGACCTACCGGCTCACGCAGGTTCTCACCGGGCATGGGTGCTTCGGTGAGTACCTGCGGAAAGTAGGAGCCGAGGCGACGGCAGAGTGCCATCAGTGCTGCGCGGAGGTCAACTCCGCGGAGCACGTGCTGGGGGAGTGGCCGGCCTTCGCCAGGGAGAGACGGGCACTCCGTACAGCGGTAGGGGGAGACCTCTCGCTCCTGGCCGTGGTTGCGGCCATGGTGGGGAGCGAGAGGTTGTGGAGGGCGGTGTCCTCCTTCTGCGACACCGTCATCTCGCGGAAGGAGGACTACGAGCGGGACCGCGAGGCGCGCGATCCCGCTCGTCGAGAGAGGTGGAGAGCGAGGCGGGGTCGTGGGCGGGGCCGTGGGGCCCGCACAGCAGGCCCCGACGGCGCCGGCGGGGGGGGGGGGGG